TGCTTTTTGTACTCGTTTGGTAGCAAATCACGCTTTCTTTAAATTTTATATCTAAAGAAAGGGTATATTTCGGTTTTAAAAAAGTTTCAGAGTATGAGCTCTTTTACGATTAAGAGGTGTTCATTCATTATACATCACATCGAAGGGGACACCAATCGCAATAAATGAACAACAAGTGGAGTAACTAGACCGTCCAGTTAAATATCCGGCAAACTATTTCGTCAGTGGAACAACCTAAAATAGTGCACGAAACGAACAGCCTGAGAATGTCCATACACAATTAGTCCCTTTTAGCAGCGGCTGTCTTGGCGAACGCTAAGTAGAGTAGCTGACTCCAATGACGGTTCTTTGCCATTGAAGTCGCTGTTCATGGGATTACAATTATGGTCAAGCGGCACAACGAGCAAGATGGACCACTTTTGCACAAAACAGATTAAAGCATAAAGAGGTTCAGCAATTTCAACCGCGAAAAGGATTCACAAATCAAGAAGAGTACCGCCTCGCTGATATGCTTTTATTTCAAAAAGAGACCAAACGTCTACAAAACACTGTGAGTTATTACCCTGAGATTTAGTCACGAGATCGCTGACTTATTTTCCTGAGCTTATCGCAAGGGGGAGGGGGAATGAGTACAAAATGAAATTGCGACTCAATACAAGGCACAGAAAGAAGTGTTCTCCCACTAAGAAGGCTTACATAGAAAAGTGCCGCAAAAATGGGTTCCTAGATAGAATAACGCTAAGCAAAACGTCTAAAAATGGGCAGAGGTAGGAAAAAAAGTCCCTGAGAGCGGTGTAGATATGTTGACAGTTCAACGATCGATCTCTCCAAACACAACGTCCAATGTGCCTAAAAAGAGATGAAAACGTTCATAGTGAAAATTCACACGTGTAGAAAAGCAAGAAAACAAGAAGCTGGGGGTCTCCCGCGAGATAATTTCTGAAATTGAAGTCTAAGTCATTCATATCAACAGAAAAATAAAAGATCCTAATTGGCCGGCGTAAGGATGCACGGCGAGTACAGGAGTGCGTATGGTTCCACAAATTGGAAGCCTTTCCATCTTTGACAGATTTTTACTGCATTAGTGATTATCGAACTAAACCGTGGACTGACAGTTTGATTATCGGTTTCGATTATGCCCACCGTAGGCTCCACAGCAGGGTAGTACAGGGACGCGTGCTTGCGTGCCAGTTAGTTTTAAGTAATGATAGCTTTGTACAGCATCTCCCGCACTCTCTCTTCCCTTACCTACTTGTGCTCGGTGTCAATAAGACCGCAGGCGGGATCGGACCCAGTGGCTGACAGGGCCGGCGAACCCGTCTGCGCGCGCTACAGCACGACCTTGCCCCCTAGACACACACGCACACACCAGGATCTACATAACCGC